CATCATCAATTTACAGTTTTATGTTAAAGAACTAGTTACAAGAGAGATAACTGTGAAAAACTCAGAATTTAGGTACAAAAATAAAGTTCAGAAGGCCTTTGCATGCAGCAGAATCCTAAAATATAACCCAAGAGACAAATTAAAAAAACGCCTAAAGTATTCAACACTTTAAATACATTTTAGGTCCTGCTGCGTCCCATAAAAACAGCATAAAACCTTGAAGGGGTTAGGAAATCTCAAAAAATGATGCAGACTGCTCACATTTAACAATAAAAAAACACTTGCATGTATGAAATCCATCTTACTTTAAAACGCTATAGTTTTTTCTTTTTTAAAAAAGTCATTATTTGGACTATACCCTTATGAGGTTCACCTGCTTTTGATTGCTTGGACAGTGTCTTATTGAGATGGTTTTTCATAGCACAACTTAAGAGCAATCAAATTGCAGTCTCCGTTTTCTGACTAGCTCACAATACCAGGTTCTTGGGTTTTTTAATGAGAACAGTTAATTTGAACAACAGTCTCTTCCCCCATCTTTCTGCTTCATGGTCCAAACATTTTTGCTGTGCACACACCTATCTTCACAACTGCTTGTTCTCTCATTTCCTGCCCCTCAACACACACGGCCAGGTCTGACAGAAACACTCCTGCTACTTGACACAATTAGAACACTGGAATCTGCCTGGAGAAAACCTGCTAATGTGTGGCTGCCTTTTTTTTTTTTTTTTTTTTAATTATTCCAATTCAAATCTTGAATCAGCATTTAAAAAGACACTAAGGCTGCCAAGTACTGAAGGTATCAAACAACTCAGATTTTTCTGAAAGCAGCTTGTGGCAGCTGCAAGTTTCTGTAACATTTACTTAGAGCAGCAATTGCTTTTGAAAATTAGATTTTCCTGCTTGTTCAAAAGATTTACCATGAGTAACCATAMAAATTCAAAATTTAACTCATTAATTACCAATGTTAGCAAGCAGATATAGAAGATGTTTGTGGCAAAAATTCAGCAGAAATAGAAATCTACCATCAGATAATGCAGATCATTTCTCTGTCAATACTTTGATATCCCTCAGAACATATATGCTCCAGTGGTTCTAAAAATCTCAAACAGCACCATTTGCAAACTCTTCCCTAAGAGATCTCTCTCAGGAACAAGTACACCTTGCTATCCAATTTAGATTTTAATTTCTGTGTTTTCAWCCTTCTTGTTATATTCCCAAGGCACTCCTCCTTATTGCTATTTTCACTTTTTATTTATTCAAGCCCTAAATATTYTGATTTTTCTTACAGTGGCATGCTTTCTCTAAGAAAATTTGATTTGTCAAATTATTTTTGATAATAGGTCACCTAATAGGTCTGGTGTCAGGAGGTGTCTGTGAACCATTTGTCTTTCTATAGTGCCTGCAAAAGGTGAATTTTCAGAGGTGGATTATTGTAACAATAAGCCAAAGGGCCCCTGAGACAATCACCAGCACTTGCAAGGCAGACTAATCAAGGGTGGCTGGATWTCAAGGGAATATGACCAGCATTTAAAAGCAATTTATATTTCTTGTTACTGTTTTCCAGGAGTGGTTTTTCTCCTCTCWCTGGCTTTTTATTGCATTTTTTTCCTTCCATGCTGCAGCACTCACACAATTCTCGCAGACTGAAGTGAGGGCAAGGATGTCACTCCCTGCTCCCATGAAAGGTAGGGTAGCGAATTTACTTCTAAGCACTGCACACCACTCTCCCAGTAGCAATCCCATCAAAAAAYACACCAGCATCTTCTCCAGATGTGGCCAGACTGATTTTATTCATGGAGTCCTTAAATGGCAATGCAGCATCTGCAGCACCCTTACACTTCCATTGGGTACCACTGCGCCACACAGATAAATGACAGCACATCCTTTCTGCAGCAGCACCTGCAGCCCTGTGAGAGCCCAGGGCTCAGCACTGAGACACACAGAGACATGAAAGGAAGCTTTCATCATGAGCCCAAGGAGGGGAGTGCACTTGGCTAAACTGGAAATGTCTATCCTCTGGCATAAGCACCTGACAGCTAAGTACCAGGCACCCAAGACTGCCACTGGAGACCTGCAGCTCAYGTAGTTTAGGGTACAATTCATTTTAACAACATTAGGGTGAGGCAAATCATACCCTAAACACTACTTATTGTAAAAAATGCATCTGCACTACTTAATTCCCACACAGGTGTCCTCCAAAAGAGTGGGGAAACATTGAGTACTTTTGATTTGGCAAAAAAACCAAAAAAAACAACATGCCTCACAAATTGATAAATATCAACCCCCAAAAGGTTAACACTGAAGGTAGAAGAAAATAAGAGTTATCTCATTGAGACCATCTGCTGTAGCAATCAAAGCAGTTAGAATTCATTTGCTTGTAGGAGTCCATAGAGAATATCATGAAGTAATKTGAGTCAAAATAAATTAGTTTATTTTGTTCTGCATGGCCAAAACCCATCCTGCTTAGTTTTACCTATCTAAATAAAGAGCACAGCCTGTTCTAGGCTTTTCTCCATAAACAAAACAGAGAAAGGCTGCTCCAAAGGGACATTTAGCACSATCTAAGATCTGGTTTGTCCTCTAAATGTGTCTATCTCTCATTAGTGACTAAGAGAAAACCAGGCTAGAACCACCTTGTTGGTATATGAATGTCAAACAGACCTCAGTGACTCTCAGTAAAGAAAGTGTTAAAAATTCTGGKTTCTATTTGCAGGGCTTTCCTCCCTCAAAACCCACAAACATTACAGTTAGGAGAAGCAACAGAATAGTTCACACTTACAGCAGGATTTACTGTGTCCCATTATTGAAGCCCACCCTTATTTATTTTTCCTAAGGGGGACCTACAATTGCATCTCAGATCCCTGCTGAGAGAAGCAAACCTTTCCTTCTGCTGCGACACAACACTAACCCTGAACTGCAGGATAATTCYGGCAGATTGTGTTCAATATTTCAGGGAGTCCACTGCAGTGTTTTCTCATTCAYTACTGGCAATCAAGCCATTTGAAAGGAAATAAGAGATGAAGAGCTAAACATTCATTTGGAGAGRGGAGAGATAATCAAAAGAATAAAAGTCTTGTCTCAGTTTTTGCATTTGATTTTTCAACACTAAGGAACATAAATTGATGTGTAATCTAATTATTATCAAATTAATATCAAAATATCAAATAATATCTAATGCTAGTATTAAAACTAGTATCTAAAATTATTTAGATTAGATTTAGAAGGTCAGTCAYCAAGGAAAATTTACTCTGAAAAACAGATGATATCAACACTACTTATTTATAAAGCAACAGAAACACTCAGCAAAAAAACTTGACAGGCATGTGTTAGCTTAACACTGGCAATACAGAAAACACTATTACTGCAAAATGCATGGGGCATGCTACTCTAAAAGACAACTATGTATTTTGACAGRTAACTGTATTATGAAGGGCTGATGATACTAATATCAGAGGAAAAGTAGTAAGGAAAGATTAACCAAATGCTATGAGTACCTTCCCCATTGATRCCACAGTACTCATAAGTGCTATTCTACTTGACAATAATGAAACACAGAAAGGCAAAGCAATGGAGAAATCCTAAAGCAGGAGTGCCGTGAGATGAATAGAAGATCAGGCACACAAATAAAACAAYGTTTTCAAGAACAGGTAAGTGAATAATCTGAAGACTCGCAGATTTAATGCCCTAGCTCTAGATCACGCAACCACACTTCTTTCATACCCCTTATCTACTTCAGCCCACTGGGGTGTCGGACCKCTCAGCAAACAGGTTGGAAAAAAATAATGTGACTAACCAAGTAGCGCTATTTCCAAATTAGCAGCCAAAGTGTGTTCATAACACATTCAAAACAAACAAGCCTACACATTACCCAGAAATTTTTCCCATGTTAACAATTCCAGATTCCAAACCAAATACACAACAACTAAATCAAAATTATGGATATCAAAAACTAACACTTTAAACAACTCATGCTCCATATGAAACCTAAATTATTTTCTTAGCATATGAAAGTCATCAAGATTGCARTCATGTAAGCAGAAAACATAACCGTGTACCCCCAACATATTTCAGTAATTTCACTCAGGATCGTACTACACAAGGAAACTCGATCTGAGCTACCACTGTAGCTCTTAAGTTAACAGAATAGTAACTTATTTAAGCCATGCAGGAAATTTTCTTTTTTGTCAGAAACATACAGCACTTCTGCATACTACATAATAAATATTTTGCAGGCCAAAAAAGCATATTTACATTATTTCATTTAACTTCAAAAATACGACATTTCCAAGATAAATGATACACCTACACCAGAATAAACAATGCCTTAGCAAATGGGTCAATAGATACAGCTTTCCTTCATCTTTAATACCATCTCCAAAGTACTTCAGAATAAGACATTTTATCATGGTGAAAGAAGGCTCTTTGACATCATACATTGCTGTTATTTTACCTTTGTGAAATTTATTTTTCACTAGCACTTGAGAAAATACTCTTTTTTTTTTTTTAATCTAGGCAATGGAAAGTAAGAAAAACGACCTACAAAGAATCAAACTGTTAATTATGCAACAAGAAACACATTATGAATACAGAAAAAAGTACCAAAAGAATGCTGCTTGGCAGCTGCTTTTTAMGCTTAGCATCATGCAACTSGGAAGGTAGGTACACTTAYTTCAGCTAGCTGTGGTAAACTTGAACGATCACCTAAAGTCAGATCACAAAAGGTTACAAATTTCAGATTATTAGCTTGTCATCAAATATTTCATACCAACAAGCTCAAGTGCTTCCACTGAACAGATTTCAACTTCCAAGCTCTCAAATACTATCTCAAATACTATTGAAATACCTACTTTCCTGAAAACTCTTTCAGCTATGCATCCAAGTAGTCTGAAATGTAGCTCTGATTTCAAAAGGGACATGGAATCTTTTCACCAGCCGAGAGATCCTTTCACCAGCCAAAACACACAGAAAGTGGATTTTTCCACACAGTTCCAAGTCCTTACCTTTCTGTAGACGATCATATTTGGAGAGCTCTCCTCTGGGTCAGCAGTTTCCGCACTACTCGGATCAGTGGCTGCCTGGGCCATGTTCGCGTCTCGTCACTCAGACTGCAAGGACAGGAGCAAAAGTCAGCATCACTCCAGGCTGCACTGGAGCGTGGCAAGGACACACAGCTGCCTCCCAGGCAGACAGACAAGGGTGGCACAGAAGGAATCGCACTCCAGACTTCACCCCATGCAGGATTTTATCACTGTGTCAGAACTGACTTGTCTAGGACAACATCCCAAGCACAAGTCTCACACAGCTATGGTTTGGGTCATCACATACACTCATTTCTCCCATAGTTATGAACTTTTATCCCAAGTCCCCATTCAGTGGAGCTCCAATTAATACTTCACACACTTCCTTTCCTTGTGATATAGCACAAACAGCTTTGACTTTTCCAGAAGCTTTGAGGTACCTGTAAACAAAAAGTCAAGAAGGATAAAAGGCTTGCTGTGAGGCAGAGCCACTGTAACCGGCGGGTGCAGCAGACTGGCAGGCACACTGACAGCTGTCGCCTGCAGACATTCCAAGCCACTTCCAGCTCCCCACAACCCCGGAGCAGCAGCCAAGAACCAGAGAGGCATAGCTGCTTGCTCAGAATAAACAGCTTCCCTCACCTCTTCTYATGACACAGCCAGGAAGAGGCAGCAGGACGCAGACAGACAACTACACATAATACTCCTTTATCATCTAGAYGCACAGAACTGCTGCCTCATCTCCTCTAGGTCATGCAAGCCTCGAGGCAACAGCATTATTAAAATAAAAAAAAAAATAAAAAGCCTAGTGCAGGGAAGACACTTTTAAGTTTCAAGTCAAATGCTGTRCTTTGAATTTTTCTTCCACCAGCACATTTGACAAGTTACATTTAAATTAGAGGCTGCTGTGGAGCCATGTGGTGACCTTTCCTAACCTAAGAAGTTACATTGCCTCATACAGACATTGGCATTAAAACTGTATGATCAGTTCAATTTCTTTAACACTGAAAATACTGAAACATCCCACCTCATCAYATTTCATTAAAAACAGAGAACATTAAAAAAAAAAAAAATCTATGTTAACACAAGCATAACTTAGGCATTAATTTCAAAACCACAGTTCACCACTAAACAGTGTCCCTTATTTAAGGAAAAGATATTTTCCTATTCTTTCCTTTACTTTCACATTGCCACAGGCAACGAAGTGCCCCAGCATATAATATACATACATTGCATATAATTATATGTAGAATAAAACCTTGAGCCATTCTAGCTGTCAGTTATCAGCTCCCAAGGACAAGTCAAGAGCTTGGAACCAGACAAGCTCAGATCACATCCCAGCTCTGTCCTTACACAGCAATGAAAAGGCTACTGCTAGAACATGGCATCCCTCACTGGAGCCAGAAGCAGCTGAGATACCCTCTTTAAGCCAGACATTAAAAAGACCAAGGTTAAACAATCTCCATCAATCCAGATTCATTAATTTCCTTATCTTATAAGGYATGCACRCACACACACAGACGCACACAAGTGGACACAAATGCATTTGTACATGCATATACCAATTCTGAAACTCAGTAGCACAGTTCAAGACCAAGTTAAACAATATATATAGATCACCCTTTAAAGGCATGTTCATACCAATTAAGATGCTATTTTATATTTAAAGGACACAAATTTACTTTAATCCCTATTTAACCTCAYGTCTTCCTAGAAGCCCAAACACTACACTGTTGTGCCAGGTCATGAGCTAAAAAGGAAATGGAATAAATTCTCTAAGCAAAATTATTAGATGCAGAAACAAACAACACAAATGATAAAGGGTAAAGCATTTTCAAATTAYAGCACTTCAAATTATTTACACGAATGTGCATTTTCACAATACTTGGTTATGATTTCAAGACACTGAAGAATTAGTGGCTCTGGGTTACCATCACTTAACTGAATGGAGCAAGAACTGGGTTGAGATTTTATGTAACTTTCTGAAGGGAATTACAAAGCAGGGTTGAAAGCATATGTCAAGTCACACAAGTTTCAGCTTCACCTGMAGTATATAAAAACCACATTCACCACTTACATTATGTGAAATTTTTTATGCATGCTTTAAAAGAAAACAATTGCAACTAACTTTCAATCAAGAAATGCTCTTAAAAGAACAAAATCCCAGTTCCTAACTGAAAAGCCCTCTGCAGCATTACTGAGCAGTGCTTCACTCATTGCATTATTCATTTTGAACATCCACATATACAAACTCCGTTGTTCTTGTTACACTGTCAGCTCACTTGATCTTTTCTGGTACTTCCAGATTTTCCCCCATAGCACTTCTTGAAGCTTTTCATCTATTCCAGTGCAACAAGACAATAACAACATGTACAATATGCAGCAGTAGCTGGCATGCTGCTCATGGTGACATCGAGGGAGCCATTAACTTTGAACATCTGTGTAAGCCTAACATGTAGATCTACACAACATCTACATARGGTAATCAATACAAGTGAACCAATCTGCTGCTGGAAGTCAGAAATTGGCAGAAGTGACTCCCACTAGTGCCCAGCATCTCCTGCTGGATTTCAGGCAGGAGCAGCAGCAGCAGGGCCACCTTTGCAGGAATGACAGCAGGATGGACATKTCAGAGAACAAGGCAGGAGATGAGATAGGATTGAGGTGCACCCTGGAGCAGAGATAAGTGTAGGCATCCCCCCCACATAGCCCAGATACTGCTGCTGCTGGGATGAGCCTTAGGAGGCCAAGCCAGGGCCCTTGAGGAATTGTGAGGGCTCTGACCATCATCCAAGTTTTTTCTCTTTCTTTTATACCCTTTTTAAAATCACTAAAAGGAATTCCTTCTCMTAGGTATGCCACAAGAAAAACAAAAAAGACTACAGATAAAACASTGATAAGACATGGTCATGTTCTTGGCTCTTTAAGGTGAAAGCACAGCAATGCTGGGTCCCATGGATTCCATTACACCTGTGCTTTTTAACATATAGGAGCCAAGTGGAGCTCGGCACCCAGGGAATGCAGGACTGCTTCACAGAACACAGGATGGCTGGTGTTGGAAGAAACACTGGAGGTCATCAGGTCCATCCTCCCTGCTCACACAGGTACCCTAGAGCAYGCTACTCAGGATTGAGTACAGACAGCTTTTGGATMTCTCCAGTGAGAGAGACTCCAGACCTTCTCTGGGCAGCTGTTCCAGTGCACACTCTCCCACACAGTAAAGAAGTTCTTCCTCATGTTCAGGTGAAGCTCCCTGTGCATCAGTTTCTGTCTACTGACTCTTGTCCTGTTGCTTGGCACCACTGAGAAGAGCCCGGCTCCATCCTCTGACACCCTTCCTTCAGAMACTTAAATACATTAATGAGGTCCCCTCTCAGCTATCTCCTCTTGAGGCTGAAGAGGCCCAGCTCCCTCTGTCTTTCCTCACAAGAAGATACTCCAGTCCCCTCTTCATCTTTGCAGCCCTTTGCTTGACCCACGCCAGGAGCTCCATTGTCTCTCTCGTACTGAGGAGCCCAGAACTGCTCCAGATGTGGCCTCACCAGGGCTGGGAGGATGTGCAGTGTCACCTCCCCTGACCTGCTGGCCACGCTCTTCCTGATGCACCCCAGGACACCATTGGCCTTCTTGGCCACAAGGKCACTGCTGGCTCATGAACAGATTGCTGTCCACCAGAACCCCCAAGTCCTTCTCCACAGAACTGCTTTCCTACCTCCGACCTGTCAAGATTTTTCTGAAGAGCTGCACAGAGSTCTGGGGCCACTCCTCCCAGTTTTGTGTCATCAGCAAACTTGCTGAAGAGGCATCTGTCCCTTCACTCAAGCACTGATGAACAAATTAAATTATACTGGASCCACTACTGAATCTTGGGGGACACATTAGTGACAAGCCTCCAACAAGACTCTKKACCATTGATCYTAATCCCCCTGGCATTCAGACAACTCTCAAACCACCTCACTGTCCACATGTCCCATCTGCACTCCTGAGTTTGCCTGTGAGGATATCATGGGACAGAGTGTCAAAAGCCTTACTGAAGTCCAGGTAGACAACATCCAATATTCTCCCCTCAGCTATCYAGGCAGTTATCCCACCATAGAAGGCAATCACATTGCTTAAGCATGATTTCCCTTTGGTGAATTCAGGCTGATTACTCCAGATCACCTTCTTGTCTTCCACATGTTTAGAAATGGCCTCCGAGGCAAGCCATTTTATCACCTTTCTGGGGACTGAGATGAGGGCGACTAGTTCTGTAGCTCCTTGAGTTCTCCTTCCTGTGCTGTTTGAAAACTGTGGTGACATTTGCTTTCTCCCAGTCCTCAAACACCTCTCCTGACTGACATAACATTTAAAAGATGATTGAGAGTGGCCTAGCAATGATGTCCACCAGTTTCATCAATACTCGTGGGTGCTAAAAAGGCCCATCAGGCGCCATGTGGACATGTGGCTGGACTAAATGATCTCTGACCCAACCCTCCWCAACCAAGGAAAGTCTTCCTTCCTCCACACTTTCTCCCTAGGGCTGCAGATACACCAGTCTTGAGTATGGAGGAAATTATCTCCAAATATTGACCAGCTCTCTTGGGACACCTCTTCCCATTGGGRCGTTCCAGTGGGATCTTTCCAAAAGGTTCCTGAAGAGRCCAAAATTTGCTCTCCTGAAGTCCACAGCTGAGACCTTACTCATTGCCCTGCTTCACCCGAGCAGGATACTGATCACCACAATCTTGTGGTCACTGCAGCCAAAGTTGCCCCAAACTTTCACATCTCCAACAAGACGGTCTTTGTTAGCTAATGTGAGGTCCAACAGCATGCCTTTCCTTGTTGCTTCTTCCACACCTGTATCAGTGTGGCTTTCCAAGAACCTCAGGGACTGCTTTCCTGTATTTGTACCATGCTAAAGCCTGGTCTCCAGCCAATTCTCTAATGGAACTTTCTCACTAGCTGGGGGATTGTGGCACTGAGGTAACACTCAGTGAACACAGACAAACTGCTGGCTACAGGGCAATGTCACTTCTGACCAAGGAGCAGTTTTGGTATAGCCCCAAGGGACCAGCTCTCCATCTCTGCCAGGGAAAAGATCACCAGGG